AGGTGGAACTCCATCATGTGACCTGCACTTTCCTACAAAACGATACTCACGTGAGAGACATCAGAGGAGAACCCTGCTGGTCGCTGTTGGTTAAAATAATGCAGGTGGCCCATCAGGTCTCACATGCGGCTGACACAGACATCCAGGGCAAGATGACCCATCATTAGAGCTCTTCATTCCCTCTGTGGCCTGTAATCATCCTGTTTCAGCTCATGCCGCTAGTGCACGATTAGTACGGTGCAGGATCAACAGCCCAGACACGCAGTCAAAATCTGCAGCTCCTTTCATCGTAAACGAAAGCCACAATTCTGAGACTGCACCATCTGCACTCCTCACAGAGAGGTATTTGAGTTAGCTGAACAGGGATCCGCAAGGTGCATCACCGGTGTGACCTTCCAGAGGTGATCAGCACATTATGACAATATTATTCCGTAGATATGTAAGGACAGCATGATGTTAGTGACCGTGGAGCGTGCCAACCCCTCATAAGTTCTTTCAAACGAAGAGGACGTTATGCAAAGCACACAATGCGTTCCCACCTTTGCGTGTTCTCATTCCACATACGTGTGTTGTCACTACTGCTAGTACACTCTATTAAGGGCTTACTAACATGTAACAGTTGTAGGAGAAACTCAAATAGGAATTCTGCAGTTAAGTCAGACTTCACTGAGGTCGCCAAGGCATATTTGACATGATGGCTCACAACCAGGCGTGTCAGTCCCGGCGACAACCTTTGCTAACATGAGTAGAAACTGTTGGCAGGCTTTAATTTTTTTCCAGTATATTGTTTCCTCTTATGATGCAAAACACTGTTTTGTTGGAAAAGAGCGACAGACATTGAGATATGACAGAAGCAGAAATAATGGACTCATAGTCTCACGTTTTTTATTTGTCAAAGTTTCTTACCATACACTTCCTTCACTGGGCTCAGTCACTCAGCTTAACCCCGCTGTTGTCGACTTGGATGCGATGCCAAACGAGACACAGCTGACGGGCAAAAAAAAGCTAGAAAACAGGGAATAAAGGGGCTCAACGAAATCAGAAGGCAGACGTGCCTAATCATGAAAAATGACAGTTTTGGAGCTCGCATGAACTCTTGATGAGGTGCACATGGTGTTCCGGACCCTGGAGCTGGGTTCACCAAAGTTAACCGGCCATGAGTGATGAGCTCAGATGGCAGCGTTGCGCATATTTAAAAGATTAAACCATCACCACATCGACGCAAACAATTAATCTTTAAGTGTATTTTTCACACATTTGGGAGAGTGTTTCGTATTTAACATCGCTGAGAGGAAATGGCTTTCTCTCCTGTGTTCTTTGTTCATTTATCAGACTTTATGATGCTGAAATTGAGATAAACTGGTACTTTTCGTCTGTGTGAGCATGTGTGTGCGTGTTTGTGTGTGAGACCATATGTTGGAAAAGTATTGCCGTTTTCATCATCAGAGATCGGGCTTTGTCCGCTATCTCCTTGTGTGCCACGTGGATTTAAACTATCCAGACATTCCTGCCTTTCTTTCCATTTTACATCATCCACCACAGCACATTCACCCACCCTCTCCCAACCCCGCCCTTCACTTATATATCTTTAGCTTTTTTTTTCTTCAGTTGTGTTTTAAATAAATATATACAGTACTGTCTTTTCTTCTGTCTTCTCTTCTCACTACGCATATGTCTTCTCGCCACTTTTAAAAACCCTCGTAAAAGTAAGCGACATGTTTCAGAGAGTACTGTACATGTTTAGTGAAACGGGGGTAGGAGGTGGGGGTGAATGAAGAACTGATAGACTCAATTGTTGATTCCTCTTTGAAAAGGATTGAGATGTATTTAATGATGCAGACATAAACAAGAAATTACTAAAAGGTGATGATGCATTCTTGTAGAAATATTTTTAAAAGACCCTTTTGCATTAAATTATTTAAGAAATGAAGCCTTTGTGTTGTGTTTTGAATTGATCATTTATGCCTGTGGACTTGGACGTGTATCGTGTTCTTATTTTATGCCATGCCAGTTCGTAATCACTCACATGTTTTGCAGTCAAATTATTGCCCGATACGAACATTTAATGTTACTGTGACAAACCCACGGCTTTAAAGTAATGACAATAGCATGTCTTCTTGGGTAAAGCAACATCAAAGCCTTCATTAGGACAGAAAAAATACATATTAATAAATAAAAATTACAAAAATAAAAGACAAATCAGGTTCAGCTAAACTTCAGGCCTCGAGTGCTGGTGTCCTGCAGGTTTTAGATGTGTCCTTGATCCTTGCAGCTGATTCAAATGGCTAAATTTCCTCCTCAACATGTCATGAAGTTCTCCACAGGCCTGGGAATGAACTAATCATTTGATTCAGGTGTGCTGACCCAGGGTGATATCTAAAACCTGCAGGACACTAGCACTCAAGGCCTGGAGCTGCCTACCCCTGAGCTAAGATCCCACTCTGTGGGCAATTTAGAATAACCAGTTAACTTAACCCCACTAATTCCATGTCTTGGGACTGTGGGAGGAGCCAGAGTGCTCAGAGAGAACCCACGCAAACATGGGGAGAGTATGCAAACCGCGCACAGAAAGTCCTCGGCCAAGTGGTGGAATTGAACTCAAGACCTTCATGCTGTGAGGCAACAAGGTAACTCATCGTACCGCGTGCTGCCTTCTTAACTCCAACTGAAGCAATAAGGCTTAAGAATGTTTCAGACAGGCTTAAGCTGCATTACTGCTCTTCCCACAGAAAAAAACAAACCAAACTTGAAGATAACAAAATCTTTAAGACACTAATAAACAGAAACTGATCTATGGAAGACGTTACCTGGAGTTCATCTGTTTCTGCTGCACCTGTAGTTCCATGATGGCATTTACTAAGCCAGTTGGTCCGTTAGGTGCCTGAGTATAAAAAAGGAACATCTTAGAGAGGCAGAGATTCCAGAAATAAAGATGGGCAGAGGTTCACCAGTCTTGCAAAAAACTGCACCTACCCAATGAATAAAATGAATATCTCCTCATCTACAGTTCATAATATTGTTTCTAAAAATACAGAATCTGGAGAAACCTCTGTGCACAGGAAATCATATCTGAAGGCCCTTAATCTCGAGTCCCTCAGACACAGCTGCATCAAAGCGAATCAAATGACTCTGTCATAGAAATCACTGTCTGGGAACACAGTTCACTGTGCTATCCACAACGCTCGCTGAAAGCTCTATCATGCAAAGCAGCCATATGTGAACATGATCGAGAAATGCTGCTGTCTTTTCAGGGCCAAAGCTCATTTAAAATGGACTGAGACAAATTGGAAAACTGTTCTGTGGTCAGCGGAGTTGAAATTTGAAATTCTTTGTCAAAAACAT